GGCCAGCCGAGGGGCCGAGCGACCGAACGGCGGCGGGCGGGCTCGGGGCGACCAGTGCAGCCGACGGACAAGCGAAAACAAACAAAAACAAACACAACCAATGCATTTGGCCAGCCGAGGGGCCGAGCGACCGCGGGGCGGCGGGCGAGCCTGGGGCGACCAGCGCAGCCGACGGACAAGCGAAAACAAACAGAAACGAAGAAAGCCAAGGAAAGGGGCCAGCCGAGGGGCCGAGCGACCGAAAGGCGGCGGGCGCGCGCAGGGCGACCAGCGCAGCCGACGGACAAGCGAAAACAAACAAACAACAACAAACAAAACCAGTGAATTGGGCCAGCCGAGGGGCCGAGCGACCGAGCGGCGGCGGGCGGGTCTGGGGCGACCAGTGCAGCCGACGGACAAGCGAAAACAAACAAAAAAACAAACAAAACCCATGCATTTGGCCAGCCGAGGGGGCGAGCGACCGCGGGGCGGCGGGCGAGCTTGAGGCGACCAGTGCAGCCGACGGACAAGCGAACACAAACAAAAACAAACAAAGCCAGTGAATTGGGCCAGCCGAGGGGCCGAGCGACCGAACGGCGGCGGGCGCGCGCAGGGCGACCAGCGCAGCCGACAGACAAGCGAACACAAACAAAAACAAACAAAGCCAGTGAATTGGGCCAGCCGAGGGGCCGAGCGACCGAACGGCGGCGGTTGGGCCTGGGGCGACCAGTGCAGCCGACGGACAAGCGAAAACAAGCAACAACCAACAAAACCAATGCATTTGGCCGGCCGAGGGGTCGAGCGACCGCGGGGCGGCGGGCGAGCTTGAGGCGACCGCTGCAGCCGACGGACAAGCGCAAACAAACAGAAACAAAGAAAGCCAGGGAATGGGGCCAGCCGAGGGGCCGAGCGACCGAAAGGCGGCGGGCGTGCGCAGGGCGACCAGTGCAGCCGACGGACAAGCGAAATCAAACAAAAACAAGCAAAACCAGTGAATTGGGCCAGCCGAGGGGCCGAGCGACCGCGGGGCGGCGGGCGAGCCTGGGGCGACCAGCGCAGCCGACGGACAAGCAAAAACAAACAAAAATAAACAAAACCATGGATGGGGCCCGCCGAAGGGCCGAGCTGCCGCGGGGCGGCGGGCGAGCCTGGGGCGACCAGTGCAGCCGACGGATAAGCGAAAACGAACAGAAACAAAGAAAGCCAGGGAGTGGGGCCAGCCGAGGGGCCGAGCGACCGAAAGGCAGCGGGCGCGCGCAGGGCGACCAGTGCAGCCGACGGACAGGCGGAATCAAACAAAAACAAACGAAACCAATGAATTGGGCCAGCCGAGGGGCCGAGCGACCGAACGGCGGCGGGCGGGCCCGGGGCGACCAGGGCAGCCGACGGACAAGCGAAAACAAACAAAAACAAACAAAACCAATGCATTTGGCCAGCCGAGGGGCCGAGCGACCGCGGGGCGGCGGGCGGGCCCGAGGCGACCAGTGCAGCCGACGGACAAGCGAAAAACAAACAGAAACAAAGAAAGCCAAGGAATGGGGCCAGCCGAGGGGCCGAGCGACCGAAAGGCGGCGGGCGTGCGCAGGTCGACCAGTGCAGCCGACAGACAAGCGAAAACAAACAAAATACAAACAAAACCAGTGAATTGGGCCAGCCGAGGGGCCGAGCGACCGAACGGCGGCGGGCGGGCCTGGGGCGACCAGCGCAGCCGACGGACAAGCGAAAACAAGCAACAACAAACAAAACCAATGCATTTGGCCAGCCGAGGGGCCGAGCGACCGCGGGGCGGCGGGCGAGCCTGGGGCGACCAGCGCAGCCGATGGACAAGCGAAAACAAACAAAAACAAACAAAACCAATGCATTTGGCCAGCCGAGGGGGCGAGCGACCGCGGGGCGGCGGGCGAGCTTGAGGCGACCAGTGCAGCCGACGGACAAGCGAAAACAAACAGAAACAAAGAAAGCCAGGGAATGGGGCCAGCCGGGGGGCCGAGCGCCCGAAAGGCGGCGGGTGTGCGCAGGGCGACCAGTGCAGCCGACGGACAAGCGAAATCAAACAAAAACAAACAAAACCAGTGAATTGGGCCAGCCGAGGGGCCGAGCGACCGAACGGCGGCGGTCGGGCCTGGGGCGACCAGCGCAGCCGACGGACAAGCGAAAACAAACAACAGCAAACGCAACCAATGCATTTGGCCGGCCGAGGGGCCGAGCGACCGCGGGGCGGCGGGCGAGTTTGAGGCGACCACTGCAGCCGACGGACAAGCGAAAACAAATAGAAACAAAGAAAGCCAGGGAATGGGGCCAGCCGAGGGGCCGAGCGACCGAAAGGCGGCGGGCGTGCGCAGGTCGACCAGTGCAGCCGACGGACGAGCGAAATCAAACAAAAACAAGCAAAACCAGTGAATTGGGCCAGCCGAGGGGCCGAGCGACCGAACGGCGGCGGGCGGGCCTGGGGCGACCAGCGCAGCCGACGGACAAGCGAAAACAAGCCGAAACAAACAAGACCAATGAATGGGGCCAGCCGAGGGGCCGAGCGACCGCGGGGCGGCGGGCGGGCCTGGGGCGACCAGTGCAGCCGACGGACAAGCGAAAACAAACAAAAAACAAACAAAACCAATGAATTGGGCCAGCCGATGGGCCGAGCGCCCGCGGGGCGGCGGACGAACCTGGGGCGACCAGTGCAGCCGACGGACAAGCGAAAACAAGCAGAAACAAACAAAACCAGTGAATTTGGCCAGCCGAGGGGCCGAGCGCCCGCGGGGCGGCGGGCGAGCCTGGGGCGACCAGCGCAGCCGACGGACAAGCGAAAACAAACAAAAACAAACGAAACAGTGGAAAGGGGCCAGCCGAGGGGCCGAGCGACCGCGGGGTGGCGGGCGAGGCTGGGGCGACCAACGCAGCTGACGGACAAGCGAACACGAACAACAACAAACAACATCAGGGAATTGGGCCAGCCGAGGGGCCGAGCGAGAGAACAGCGGCGGGCGAGCCTGGGGCGACCAGTGCAGCCGACGGACAAGCGAAAACAAACAAAAACAAGCAAAACCAATGTATTTGGCCAGCCGAGGGGCCGAGCGACCGCGGAGCGGCGGGCGAGCCTGAGGCGACCGGTGCAGCCGACGGACAAGCGAAAACAAACAGAAACAAAGAAAGCCAGGGAGTGGGGCCAGCCGAGGGGCCGAGTGACCGAAAGGCGGCGGGCGAGCCTGGGGCGTCCAGTGCAGCCGACGGACAAGCGAAAACAAACAAAAACAAACAACATCAGGGAATTGGGCCAGCTGAGGGGCCGAGCGACCGAACGGCGGCGGGCGGGCCTGAGACGACCAGTGCAGCCGACGGACAAGCGAAAACAAACAGGAACAAAGAACGCCAAGGAATGGGGCCAGCCGAGGGGCCGAGCGACCGCGGGGCGGCGGGCGGGCCTGGGGCGACCAGTGCAGCCGACGGACAAGCGAACACAAACAAAAACAAACAAAACCAAGGAATGGGGCCAGCCGAGGGGCCGAGCGACCGCGGGGCGGCGGGCGTGCGCAGGGCGACCAGTGCAGCCGACGGACAAGCGAAAACAAACAGAATCAAACAAAACCAGTGAATTCGGCCAGCCGAGGGGCCGAGCGACCGAACGGCTGCGGGCGGGCCTGGGGCGGCCAGTGCAGCCGACGGACAAGCGAAAACAAACAAAAACAAACAAAACCAATGCATTTGGCCAGCCGAGGGGCCGAGCGACCGAAAGGCCGCGGGCGGGCCTGGGGCGACCAGTGCAGCCGACGGACAAGCGAAAACAAACAGAAACAAACAAAACCAACGCATTTGGCCAGCCGAAGGGCCGAGCGACCGAAAGGCTGCCACTGCGATCGACGGACAAACGAAAACAAGCCAGAACAACCGAAACCAGCCAAGGAATGGGGCCATCCGAGGAGCCAAGCGACCTAGCGCTACTGCGCGCCGCTGAGACAGGGCCCGGAAATTTGCAATCTACTTCTTGTAATTGCTGTTGCTGTTGTTTTTTTGGGCGGCCCCGAATGCAATCTACTTCTTCCGCCTTCCTACTTCATGTTTCTACCTACTTCTTCCGACCGGTGGGTATAGCTCCACAGCATTATAGCCATATAACCCTATAGCCCTATAAGTTCATAGCCTTATAGCCCGATAGCCCGATAGCCCCATAGCCCTATAGCCCTATAGCTTATAGACGGTCCTATTTCTCTATAACCCCATAGCCCTATAGACCTAAAGATATTATCATTTGGGCTGTTCTCCCGTATCATATGTTAACGAACATCTGAACTCACATGGAGGTGTTTAGGGGGTGTCGCCGGGATGTGTCAGCAATTCAGAGCAGGCACCCTTAAAACATTTGCGAGGTGCCGGCTCCCCAGAGCAGGCACCAGAGAAAAAAAAAAAGGAGGCGTCGGCCTCCCACGGCAGACATCTGAACAAATCCGCGAGATGTCGGCCTCCCAGAGCAGACTCTTTCAGAGTGTCCAAATGTTGTAGACAGAGTGTCCCGCTGCGGGACCCTGCACCCTTCGGCAACATCTTGGGTGTGCCGCCCTGGCGCCCCACGCTTCGGCGCAGAATGTGCAGGGTCATGCGGCGGCACCCCCTACCCTTCAGCACCATCTCGGATGTGCCGCTGCGGCGCCGCGCACGTAGCCGCACAATGCCAGGTGTCATGCTGCAACGTGCCACGCCCTTCGGCCAAACCTCGGGTGTGCCAGACCCCAGGGGGCCGACACTCTTTGGAGACCTTTTTCGGGATGCCAGAAATGACTTTGGGCGATGGCGTCCAAGGTAGGCGGTGCGAGCCCCGCGGCGGAGTGAGGCCACGATACGGGGATGACGACGACAGGAGGTACGCGGAAGGGAAAGGGCTGGGGGGTGAAGGGCGAAGCAGGGGAGTGAGCGACACCAAACTTCGTACGCATGATTCAGGCTTGAATGGTTACAGACAGTGAGCAGCACAGTCTGGCTCAAGGCTTGCGGCCCCGCGCCAGGCAGATGCAGCGAGAGCTCGCGGTCCCATGTCGGCGCTCTGGACTTCCAGCCACAGCCTCGAGCCGCTGGCATCCCAGGGCCTCGACCTCGGCATCCACGGCGCCGCGCCCACCCCGCCATGGGCGCAGTCGGCGTACAGCCTGGAGTCGAGTACCCCTGCTGGATGGGGGAGCGGCGCGCTGCAAGCGGCGACAAGCGCAGCGCAGGCTGCCGAGGACGTCCGAGCCGCGGGCTTCCGGCTCGGGGTCTGCGCGCTGCTTCGCAACTTGTGGCTGCACAGGCTCGCCCAGACCCTGTGCGGCGCACGCAGGCGCCTCGCGCAGGCGGCACTGGGCCGCTGGCACCGCTCGGCGATGCGCAGCAGGTGGGAGGAGCTGCGCAGTGCGGCAGAGTCCAGCGCGCGGGAGAGGGCCGAGGAGATGCTCTCAGAGTACGCGCGCCAGTCCGCGCAGCTGCGCCAGCAGTGGCACCGGGAGCGCGAGGAGGTAGTCGCCTCGGAAGGCCGGGACAAGGGCTGCCACATCGAGGTGTCCTCAGAGGGCCTGGTGCGCTTGAAGGCCATTGATCAGCAGCGCCGCGCGGAGCTTGCGGAGCTGCACCGCCAGCACAGCGAGGCTGCCGAGGGGCACGCAGCGGAGTCCCGGCGCCGCCTCTCGGCCTGCCGCCGCGCCTCCCGCGAGCTGGCGGCGCGAGCGCTGGGCGGGCTCGGCGGCGGCAGCGGCGGGGAGGAGCTGAAGTGGGTCAGGAACGACCGCGACATCAACCTCCTGCAGTGGGCCTTCGCGCAGCAGCCGGAGGTGTGGATGGTGCCCTTCCCGCCCGTCGCTTCCCTCGATCACGCCACGCTGCTCGACCGGCAGCGCGACGCCCTGGCCGGGGAGCTGCGCCGCGTGCTCGAGAGTGCCTCGGAGCTCCGCCGGTGGGCGCGGCACGAGGCCTGCCCGCCCGCCGGGACCGCGAGGCGCCAGCGGCGGGCTGTGCCCCTGGGCGCGAGGCTCCTCGGGAGCGCGGCGCGCAAGGCTCTAGCCAGGCAGGCGCTCTGGGCGCTGCTCCGCCTGGTGCCCCCGCCCAGGGCCTCGCAGAGCCCGCAGCGAAGGCTCGGGCCCGACGCCGCGGCTCAGGTCTCGCCGGAGGGCAGGTTCCCAGCTTGGCTGCCCTGATACGCCCGTGTGGGAAAGCAGCACATGCCGTGCTCAAAACGTCCGTGCTAGCACGGCGCGTGTGGGCTCGGCACGTGTTGGCCCACCTTTGGAAGAGAGGGTACGTACCGCGCCAGACCTAGTGAAGCGCCGTGCCAACACGCTACGTGTAAGTCGGGCACGTCCCCCTACAGGAGTAATATTCAAAAATAGTAAAAAAGTAGTCTGGGGCCGATCGTTCTACCACTTGTGTTGCTTGTTGATCATTTTTAGACTATGTTACCTACCTAGGCTCTGCCTAGAAGGGTTCTTACCCTGTAAGCTTAAGGGGCCGGGCAGTGGGTTTCGCCCCGGGCGGTTCCCCCAGGATCCGCCCCGCAGTTCCCCCCAGTTACGTCCCCTTAGCTTAGCTTAGCGTTGCTTATCTCATCTTAGCTTAGCCTAGCTTAGCTTAGCTTAGCCTGGCCTAGCTTAGCTTAGCTTAGCTTAGCTTAGCTCAGTTTGGCTTAGCTTAGCGCAGCGCAACAATAGCATAGCATAGCATAGCATAGCTTAACATAACACAGCATATCATTCGCATTAGCATTAGCATTAGCATTAGCATTAGCATTAGCATTCGCATTAGCATTAGCATTAGCATTAGCATTAGCATAGCATAGCATAGCATAGCATGTCCTATCATAGCTTAGCATAGCATAGCATAGCATAGCATAGCATAGCATAGCATAGCAATGTTGTTTCCCTAGATGCTCCAACTCCTAGGTAGGGTCGCACTGGGATAATTTCATTTTCCGTCCAAAAGCTTCGCCTGTAGGAGGACATTCCCGACCTAACGCGTCGTGTTGCGTGTTGCGTGCTGCGCATCGGGGCAGCCCAGGTTCCCGGTGCTTCCCGTGCACGTGGCGGCCGGCGCTCTCGGCGGGCCGTGTGCGCGGGTGCCGGACCACCGGCCTCTCGGCGAGCGCGCGCCCAGCGCGGCGCACCAGCACCACCAGCACGAGGGCTACGACGCCCTGGGCACGTTCATCCTCGGCGAGGCCCTCGACGACCGCGGCGCGCGGCGGCGGCTGAGCACCAAGCAGAGCGTCTGGTTCCCGGAGGACGGCTCCATCTTCTCGCCCATCTCCGCCGCGTCGCCGGAGGGGGACGCGGCCTCGCCCGGGCGGTCCTCCCAGCGCTGGTCGACTCTCAAGTCGCCGGTCTCGGGTGAGGGCGCGGCCTCGCCCAGCCGTGTCGCCCAACGCAGGGCCACGGATTCGGCGGGAGGGCGCTCGAGCGGTTCCGACGCGGGCGCGCACGGCGCGCCCGAGGAGGCAGGCAGCACCGCCGGCGCGGCGCAGCCAGGGGGAGGAGTCGAGCCGCGACGGAGCCATCTCGGCAGGCGGAAGGCGAGGACATCGGATGAGCTGATGTCGGACCTGCTGCCGTCGCGCAGGGGCACCTTGGACGCAGCAGAGCCACGGCCCCCCGCTTTCGGGTTGCAGCCGAGCTCGAGGAGACCGACGGGCGCCTCGTCCGAGGCATCCTGGCAGGCGGCCGGCGAGGACGGGCCTGCGGCCGTCTCCGCGACGAGCCCCGGCCGCCGCCGCCGCACCGACGGGCTGCGGGAGCTCGCAGGGCGGGGCGACAGGCCGGGCGGCCGCTTCCCCGCCGCGCTCGGCACGAGCGGCTCCACGCCGACGCCCCGCTCGGCCGCGGCCGGCGAGCCGCCGGAGGAGCCGCCGATGGACGAGGGGCAGCCTCGGCTGACGCTCGAGCAGGAGCTGGGGCTGACCATGGACCTCGTCGAGGCGCTGTCCGAGGACGACGAGCTTCGAGGGTCAAACAGGACATGAACATTAGCCTCGGGAGCTCCGCCCGCAGCTTTTGGCTCGGCGCTGGGCCCCCCGCCCCCTGGCGCGCCAGGCGCGCCAGCGGCGCCGCCAGCGCCGATCCAAGAAGTCCGCGCGGAGCTCCGAAAGTATCGGGGGTGGACAGACCTCCTACCCTGACACGTCGAGTAAGGAATTGGCCGTTTTCGGTTCGCGAGAGGGCGTCGCGGCCGTCACTTTTGCGGGTCCAGTTCCGTCGGCCGTCGGTCCCAGGCCGTTTTCCTTAGGGGGAGGTTTACTAAAGGGAGGTTTGTCCACCGCCGAATATATCATAGATCCGACGCCGCGTTTTTTTGTTGTTCCCGTGCGGGGCCCCCGGAAGCATCCACCGACTCCCCAGGGCCGGCTTTTCACTCTGCGTATAGAGTCTTCTGTCGGCCCCGTGGCCCGGCGAGGGCCCCTGGAGGCAGGCAGTTTAGACACACCTCCGCCTTGGTTTTGTCCCTGCGTTGGATCTCTGGGGCGATCTCTGTTCGTGCAGCTCTTTGCTCCTCCCGGCGCCCCCCGTTGATGGGCCTGTTTCCCACCACCACCACCATCAGTTGGAGGGGGAGGGGCTCCACCTCCTTCTCCTCCTCCTCCTCCTCCTCCTCCTCCTCCTCCTCCCCCTCCTCTTCGTCCTCCTCCTCCTCTTTGTCCTCCTCCTCTTCGTCCTCCTCCTCCTCGTCCTCCTCCTCCTCCTCCTCCTCCTCCTTCCCCCCTGTCCAACTCATGGTGGTGGTGGTGGCAAACCGGCCCATCGCCCCGTGGCCCCGCAGCGCAGCAGCCCCACGGCGCGCCGGCGGCAGGCCCGCGCCGCCGAGGCCGCGGCCCTGCCCGCGGCGCCCGAGGGCGGCGCCGCCCCCGCGCCCGCCGCGGCGGGGGGCGAGGCTCGAGGCCTCCCAGATGGGGTCGGAGCAGATGGGGTCGGAGGATCGCGCCGCATCGGCGATGCATCGCCGATGTATCGGCGATGCGGCGCGATCCTCCGACCCCATCTGCTCCGACCCCATCTGGGAGGCCTCTAGAGGCGGCCCTGCAGCGGCTCGGCGGGCGGCCCGCGGAGCCCGGCCTGAGCCAACAGGGGGTCCAGCGACAGACCCAGACCCCCTCGGGCAAGGACAAAGTCATGGCGGGAGGTTTTTTTGCTTTATGTCGGGCCTGTCCCCCTACATGGAGATTTTCGACGCAAAGTGAAAGATACCCTGAAAATGCCCCAAAACGGCCAAAACATATTCAAAAAATAGTCCCCTGACTATTTTTGGATATTTTTTTGGCTAGTTTGGGGGTATTCTTTATTTTTCGTCGAAAATCCCCCTGTAGGGGGACAGGCCCGACTTAATTGTTGCTAGTTTCAGCCCCTGGGGGCCCTTGCCGGCCCTTGGGGCCGTCAAGAGACGACTCTGGATGCAAAACCGGTCCCGGGGAATGGGTCGAGACCGCAATGAGCAAATCATGACGTCGGGGGTCTGGGAAAGGGGGGTGGCGCAATAGACTTGGTGCAATAAACTTGGGGGGCTGCAGTGCATGTGCCAACCACTTGCGACACATCTTTGCCCCAGGTCTGGTGCACCACCCCCTTTCAGCTGCTCCTCCTCCTCCTCCTCCTCCTCCTCCTCCTCCTCCTCCTCCTCTTCCTCCTCCTCCTCCTCCTCCTCCTCCTCCTCCTCCTCCTCCTCCTCCTCCTCCTCCTCCTCCTCCTCCTCCTCCTCCTCCTCCTCCTCCTCCTCCTCCTCCTCCTCCTCTTGGGTCGACCATGAGGAGCACGCCCCGGAGGCCGCGCTGGGCCGGGCGGGGGCTGGCCAGACCCCTTCGCGCCAGTGTAGAACTCGCCACGGGGGGCTTGTCGCCATTTGCGGCCTCCGGGGGTCCTCACCGGGCCCCGGGAGCGCCAAGGAACGACTACATGAGAGGATGAGGGGCGGGTCCCGGGGAAGGGGTCCAGGCCTCTGGGGGTTGACGTTGTGAGAAGATCGCGACGTCGGGGGTCTGGGGCAGCGGCGCCGCGGGAGGCCGCGGCGGGCTCTGCGGAGGAGCAGCGCGAGCCGTCGCTGCAGCTGCCGCCCCGCGGCGTGGGCGGCACGCCCCCCGCGCCGCCGAGGGGGGCGGAGCCCGAGGCGCGCGGCGCGCCCGAGGAGTGGGGGCCCCAGGGGTCCTACGAGGAGGACGAGTCGGACGAGGATGCCCGGCAGGGGAATCCGTAATTATCCAGGCCCACTCGAGTCGTGAGCATTCACACGACGGAAGGCGGTCCGTTGTTCTCAGCCTGAACGGCTCAGGATGAAAAGCCGTTCCCAGAAAACGGGTCGAGACCCTTCATGGGGTCGACGGGACTTCTCTCCCTTCCCGCCCGCCCCGGGCCTAAGCCGGAACTTCTTTCTTCCTCCTACCCCAGAGCCCGCGACGTCATGATTTGCTCATGACGTCCCCAGACGTCTCGAACCATTCCCCGCGACGGGCTTTTCATCCTGAGTCGTTTTTTGATTTTCCTGAGGCTCAGTAAGGCCCCTCAGAGGCAGAGTATTTCCAACAAAAATGCCGTCTTGTTTTTGTTCGCGACGTGAGGCGGTCTGGGTTCTAGGGGTCGACGATATGAAGCACAGCATGACGTCGGGGGTCTGGGTGGAAGGCGGCCGTGCGTCACACCGCGACCTGCGCCTGGACTTGGCAATCCCTGGACCCCAAGGCTGGGCTGGTGTGCAGGCCCGCCGGGCCGAGAGAGCCGATGCACTGTGGCAGGGCCCAGGGTGGCCCAGGCCTGGTGGTGCACCCCAGAGATCCGACGCTCCGCACAAGTTGGAGAGGCAGGTGTTTGGCCGTTCTAAGCCTCCGGGAGCCCTCGCCCGGCCTCTGGGCCATCGATAAACGGTTCGTGGGACGCCAGAGCGTGGTCCAGACCTCCGGGGCCCCCGCGTCAACAAAAACATGTCGGAGCAGCCGGATGTCTGGGACGGGCGCCTCCTCGGGAGCCCTGAGCGGGGGTCAATGCAAACGGGGGTCAGCCAGAGCGCCCGATCTTGCAAGATCCTGCAGGGCCAGGGTCGCATTGACCCGGGCTTGGGCGCAGGACCAGGACACTGCAAGCTCTTGCTGGATCCTTCGCGTTGACCCGGGCTCGGGTGCAGGATCTTGCGGGGTCTTGCAGGATTCTGAGAAGCCTGACTGACCCGGGTATGGATTGACCCAGGTCAGAATATCCCCCAGCTCTAGGCCTCCTAGATGGGGTCGGAGTAGATGGGGTCGGAGGATCGCGTCGCATCGTCGATGCATCGCCGATGCGTCTCGATGTGGAACCCGATTTGTTTCACGTCGACGTCGCCGATGCATCGCCAACATCGACGATGCCTCGCTGGTGCATCGCCGGTGCATCGCCGATGCATCGCCAATGCATCGCCGATGTAACGGCGATGCGGCGCGATCCTCCGACCCCATCTACTCGGGCCCCATCTAGGAGGTCTCTATCAGCCGAGGACGGAGACCCATAGATCCGATGTCGTGATTTCTTCCATGCGGGGTCCCCGAAAGGCTCGCCCCATTCCCCAGGACCGGTTTTTCATCCCGAGTCGTTTTTTGACGGTCCCAGGGCCCGGTGAGGGCCCCTAGAGGCCGAACACGGCGAAAAACGTTCCTCCGTCTTGATTTGTTCAAGACGTGGATCTCTGGGGAGGAGGACGAGGACGAGGAGTCCGAGTACAGCGAGGAGGCGTGAACTCCGCCAGCGGGCACCTCCGCCTCCAGGCCCTGCGGGCAGGCCGGAGCGCCCCGGCCGCGGGCTGCTGCGGACGAGGCGGCCGTCCTCGCCCCTCGGTGCCTCGTGGAGGGTTCCTCCGAAGGGCTTGGGCGACCCGTCCACCTCCTCCTCCCTCCTCCTCCCTCCTCCTCCTCTCCTCCTCCTCCTCCTCCTCCTCCTCCCTCCTCCTCCTCTCCTCCTCCTCCTCCTCCTCCTCCTCCTCCTCCTCCTCCTCCTCCTCCCTCCTCCCTCCTCCTGCTCCTCCTCCTCCTGCTCCTCCTCCTCCCTCCTCCCTCCTCCCTTCTCCCTCCTACCTCCTCCCTCCTCCCTTCTCCTGCTCCTCCTCCTCCTCCTGCTCCCTCCTCCTGCTCTCCCTCCTCCCTCCTCCCTCCTCCTCCGCCTCGGGTCGCCTATAGGCCCCGGGGGAAACCGTGTAGTGCCTCGGGCGACTGGCGGCGGCTCTCGCGCGCGCCGATCCGGGAGGGCGGGTCCCGAGATCCTGGAGTCTCAGTTGAATTTTCGAGCCGGGGGTTCTCGCATATGATTTTTCTCGGGCCCCGCGGGACCCTCACAGGTCGATCCGCCGAGAAAAACGACGCAGGAGGATGGAGCCTAGCCGTGAGATCCGACTGCGCGAAAAAATTGGGGCATGGGGGAAATCACGACCCGAGCCCTGGTCTCCATCTTTCTGCGCCATTTTCCGAGCCGGATCCATCTGTGAGGGCCCCGGGGTCCGAAAGAGCTCGCAAGAGGGCCCGGGCTGGAAAAGATCGAGACGCCGGCATCTCAGGAAGGGTTCCAGGCGCGATTTTTCGCGGCGTCTCCATTTTTTCGGAGACGTCGGATCTCAGGGGATGGCGTCGACGGGGCGGCTCCGCCGCAGGCCCGGTGGGCGTCCTCGCCTCCAGAGGTGCCTCGGGTGGGCTGCGCTGGCCCGCGCTTTGTCGCCGGCTCGCGGGGGCCGGGGGACAGGGGACGGTGGGGCACCTTGTGCGGCGGTCGGAGGCGACGAGAGGAACAGGCCAGAGGCGGGAATGACCCGTGTTCGCCGGGGAGGCTCGCCGAGGGCATGGGCCGTGGGCTCCCCTGGGGTACAGGTATGACTCTTGTTCTCCCCCGGGCCATTCCCCCCCACCGTTGCCACCGAGGCGGCTCCGCTGCCAGCTGTCTCACGCGGTCGCTTGGTCGCTCCAGGCGTGCTGCAGTTCTGTTTGTCACGAGGCCGCGGGCAGTCCATGCGTGTCACAGTTGACGCCCGCGTCGTTCTCTTCTTTGCTTGGCTTATCGCCATCCCCTCCCTTCGTCTGTCAAGTACTAAGTTGTTTGTTTTGTTTTGTTTATTTATTTCTTTCTGTCTCTCTCTCTCTCTCTCTCTCTCACTCTTATATATTCATCTCTCTAGATATATTCCTCAATGAGTCTCATTTGCCGTGTAGACCTTGCGTGGTGATTCGCAGAACTCGTTGGAGCCTGGGCGGATACATAATGAGAGCGCGTAGCAAGACATCACATCGGCGGGTCCCTGTCGTTCGAGTTCGGGCTGAGAGCACTCGCCAGTTGCTGCTGCTCTCTGTTGGCTCTCGCGCCTAGGCGCGCAGGGCCATCTTGGTAAAAAATCATGCTTGCGTTTGTTGGTGATCCGTGCGCGTTCGTCAGGGCGCCTCCAGCCGCACAAGCCGTGTGCCCGCTCACCGAGCTGCGTCACAGGAGCCGTGTGCCCTTCCCACAAGATTGCGCTCGTAAAGGAGAACGGGAAGCACACGCACGCGCAGTACAACGACATCAGGACGACACTTCCAAACATATCAATCCTCACCAGCACCACAACACGTACGACACGGACATGGCTAAGGAAGCCTATTGCATGGTGTACCAGTTTGCAGCCGATAGGGAGGTTCGGGGTTGGGAGATGGGTGGGTCAGTTCCATGTGTCCACCGCGTTCAGTTCAATCGAACTTCATCAGTTTCAATTCCTTAGCCCGTTTATAGTCCAGAAGGGGATCGAAAAAGACCGACAGCGATTCATGTATAAACAAGGAAAGATTTGAGTAGGTAGTTGCATGACACGTCGTATCCAATGAACGATTCAAACGGCGATTCGACACCAACACACCTCGACATCACGGGACCACGATACCACGACACCCCGCGACGCACTACGACAAGCGCAATTATTTTCTCTCCGCCGTCCACCCTTAGCGACCTTGGCCTCACGCACGGCTTCGCATACACGTCACGCACGACACGAGTACGAGCTCTGGCTTCGCGGAAGCTGTCATGATTCCCAGCCCCCGATTCACGGACATATTATGTGTTAACCGTTGGCATGAACGTCGTTCAGCATAGCGACGTATCAGCACAAGAAGCATTGCCGCTCTGATTGCATGCCATGACTCATACTTGAGACATGCGCGTAGCCGAGACATTGCGACGGTCAAAGAGTTGGTCGATCCTCTTTCCCCCACCCCTCTCGAAACAGTTATTCCAGGAAGGATCGAGGTCTACTCGGGGAGTCAAGCATAGTTGTCAGGATACAGGAGATCCCGATCGGTTTGCTAGCGATGAGAAGCGCATGGTCACAGTCAGACGCGCTCATCATTTAGATGCTGGCCTGCAAGGTGGACAAGAGTATCAGACACAGAGGGACAGTAGCCTGATAGATCTGCTCCGTAGCCACCTGTGTCAGATTCATGGGGGCTGGTCAGATCGTGTGTGTGTGTGTGTTGGTGGGTGTGGCGTCGTTCTGCCAGCAATTATGTGATCGGGCCAGCCTGATCGCACAGTCGGCCCTGCCCGATTGCATCGCACGTCCTCTGGGCATGTCGGATGCCAGCCGTGGCGCTGCGCGAATTGGCCAGAGTGTTGATGTGCAGCAGTGCCCCGCGCCAGCAAGCACATATTGTTTATTTTCTGTGCCCCCCCTTTCCATCTCAGGATTTTCCCCAGATGTTCATCGAGTAGCGCGTCCGTGAGAAGTCAGAGGTGGGACAAAGCACGTGTCAAAACGTCGGTCTGGCTGCTGGACCTCCTCGTGGCAGCTCCGAGGACGCTGCGTGGGAGGACGCGCTGTGCCGACCACCGTTTCTAGAGAACTCTTCCCGAGCGAATGCCCCCTTTCCGTGCCCGTCTCGCATGCGCCCCGTGCGGTGCCCGAGGAGGAGGAGGATGAGGAGGACCAGTGCAAACCCAAGACTCATCACCGATGTTGGAGCTTACCCTCCTTCCAAGCTCCCTCTCCATAGGCCCATAGAAGGATTCACTTCCACTTGGGGAAGTGCCCTGTTGGGAGACAATCGTATGAAGATCCTGAGGTGACCGCAGCCGCGTGGGGCTGGGCCAGGGCCTGGGCACCGTAGAGAGCGCGCCCCCCCCCCCCCCATGCGCTCGCGGGCGCCATGGAGGCCGAGGGCACCGAGGCCCCCGGCATCTTCAAGGGGGCCCCCGTGATCGTCCGGGGCCTGCGGAGCGCGCCCGAGCACAACGGGGCCAGGGGCACCGTCACTTCTGGGCTCTGGGCTCGGCTGCCTCGATACGCCCGTCTTGAAACACAACACATTCCATGCTTGAAACGTCCGTGTCAATACGTTGCGTGTTGGCTCAGCGTATTGGCTCACGTTTTGGCGAACGTTTTGACCTACGTGTTCAGTCTAATTGTTGAGCTACGGATCAATACGCTACGTGTTGCGTATAAGGGCAGCTGGGCAGCTAAGGCTCTGGGACAACGGCCGGTACGAGGTCACGCTCCCGCGGGAGCCCGCCGGAGAGCCGAGGGTGCTGGCGCTGAAGCCCGCCAACCTCGAGCTCGACACCGAGGCGCTCCAGGAGTACGTCCTGCGGAAGAGGGCCGAGGCCTCGAGCCGTGGCAGCGCTCTGGAGGACGTGGCCCTCGTCTGGGCGAAGGGGAAGGGCCTGTCCAGCAAGGCCGTGAGCTCGAGGAAGGCGGAGGTCCGTGGGCTTCAGCAGGGAGAGGTCCTCCTCCGCGTGGACAAGTTCGCCTTCGGGCACATGGCGATGGGCTACCTGATGAAGGGCTTCACGAGGTCCTTCGGGGCCTACCACAACTTCTACCGCCATCCAGAGGACGGGCTCTACCGCTCGGGCTGCTGGGGGTTCGCCACGGTGCTGGAGTCCCGTCACCCGAAGGTGGCGGTGGGCACCCGGCTGTACGGCCTGCTGCCGCCCTGCCGGTTCCAGGTGATGCCAGTGGGCGGCATCATCCCTCCAGGCAAGAACGGCGAGCCCGCCGTGGTTGAGGTCACGATGGAGGGCCTGCCCTACAACATGAGCCGGTTCCAGGAGCTGCAGGTTGTGGACAGTTGTGCCTCCGACGCTCACCTGGAGGACTGGAAGGCCGTGACCAAGGAGCTCTACACCATGGCGTTCTACATGGACGAGCAGCTCCTCGTCGACACGGGCATGATCAACTCGGTCCTCATATCGTGCGCTTCCTCGAAGACGGCGCTCGCCCTGGCGTACTGCCTGCGGATGCGAGATATGCGCCTCGTCGTCGGACTCACGTCCCAGGAGCACCTGGGCTTCGTCAGGTCCACGGACCTCTTCCACGAGGTGTATGCCTACGAGGAGGTGGCCTCGGTACCCAACAGCAGCACGACAGTCTACATGGACTTTAGGTGCGATGGGCAGCTGAGGCGCGACATCTGCCAGAGGATGGGCACGAACCTCATGTACGCCATGGTGGTGGGACCAGCGGTGTTTCAGAGGAAGCTGAAGGACCAGCTCTTCGAGGGCCAGAAGTCGCGTGAGGTGCTCTTCGACGAGTCCTCGTGGAGAGCGAGGCGGAAGATGGTCGCGGAGGTGACCAAGACGGATCGCAACGAAAGGCTCCGGTATTCGCAGACGGCCTTCATCGAGCGCCTTCAGCGCTTCGTCAGGCTGAGGTATGTCAGCGGCGTTGGGGCGCTAGTGAAGATTTACGACGCCCTGTACAACAATGAGGCGTCTCCTGCCGACGCCTACGTGTGCACGCTGCACGAGGGCGAGTTCGAGGGCGAGGAGGAGCTCTGGAACGAGTGACCCCACGGCCAGCGGGCACTCGCTCCCCAGCGCCCTCCGCCGGGCTGTCCGCCGGGCTGTCCGCAGGGTCGGAGGAGTCGGAGAAGTCGGAGTCGGAGCCGGAGAATTGGATGAGGAGGAGGAGGAGGAGCTTAGAGGAGGCGGAGGATGAGGAAGAGGAGTACGAGGAGGAGGCGGATGAGGAGGAGGAGGAGGAGGAGGAGGAGGAGCTGAAGGACATGAGGAGGTTTAAGAAAGAGAAGAGGAGGAGAGGAGTGGAGGAGGAGGAGGAGGAGGTTGGATGAGGAGGAGGGGGAGGAGGAGGAGGAGGAGGAGGAGGAGGAGGAGGAGAAGGAGGAGGTTGGATGAGAAGGAGGAGGAGGACCAGTGTAAACCTAAGACGCATCAAGGATGTTACAATAAACCCTTCCTCTGAGACCTCTTCACAGGGCCCTGCAGCAATTTACCTTCATCGCGGGAAATGTCCCACTGGAAGACAACCGCCTGAGATCACCAATCGCTCCAAAACAGAATCCCTTGGGAATCCACCGGGCTTTTGCATCCTGGCAATCCCAAATCGTGCCAGAGCACCATTCTTGGGACTGAACCACCACGAATCAACCTGACTGTTGCATTCTGACCATCCGAAATCTTGCCAGAACACAGTTCCTTCGACTTCGGCCATGGGAATCCCTGAAACTGCTTCAAACTTTCAAAACGAATGTGTACGGCGCTAATGCGAGAGCTAGAAGCCGAAAACCACCCGCCCCCAATCCGTGAACCTCTTGCACACGTTCAAGGCAAACATGCATGGCGCGAAGGAGGCAGCCACGTTTCCAAAACGACCCCGTGAAGCTCCTGCAAGCTTTCTAGCGAATGTGCGCGGCGCTGAGGCGAGAGCTACACTTTGAACACCTCCCGTCCTGCATCCGTGAAGCTGAAGTCTCCGGCGAAACGCCCGCCCTGCCCTACTGGCGCGCCTGGGGGTGCGACAAGGAGGAGCAGGGGATGGAGGAGGTGGAGGAGCAGGAGGATCTGGAGAATCAGGAGAAGCAGGAGGAGAAGGAAACGGAGAAGGAGGAGGAGGAGGAGGAGGCGGAGCAGGAGGAGGCGGAGCAGGAGGAGGAGGAGGAGGAGGAGGAGGAGGAGGAGGAGGATGTCCTGTCCCAGCCGACGCGCGCGGCCTTCTTGCCCAGAGCGCGGCGCCGTGGCAGGCAGGCAGCCCCGGGCGCCGTCGTCCCGGCAGGCGCGATAAGAGCAGGCGGGGGCATCCTGTGAGGCAATGGCCCGTCAAAAGCAGAGGGGATCATAGGAGGGCCAGTTGAAACAACCCAGTACGACTTCGGGGTGCCCCGTGGTCGCCACGGCGGGACACAGCTTGGAGAGCTGGTGCGTTTGGTCTGGGGATCGGTCTTGAGCTACCGTTGTCTCAACTCGCCCTGCTCCGAGGTCAGACAGCGAGGAGGAGGAGGAGGAGGAGGAGGAGGAGGAGGAGGAGGAGGAGGGGAGGAGGAGGAAGGAGGAGGAGGAGGAGGAGGAGGAGGAGGAGGAGGAGGAGGGAGGAGGAAGAGGAGGAAGAGGAGGAGGCTAGTGGAACCTCTGATGGGGGTTCAGGGCTTCGAAGAGATCAGGAGGAGCAGGAGGAGGAGGAGGAGGAGGAGGAGGAGAAGGAGAAGGAGTCTAGGAGCCTATGAGTCTAGGGGTCTAAGAGGCGTGGGTGGTGGATGAAGCAGGAGGAGGAGGAGGAGGAGGAGGAGGAGGAGGAGGAGGAGGAGGAGGAGGAGTAGGCGGAGGGAAGGGGAGGGAGGGGAGGGAAGGTGCGGGAGGGAGGGCTGGAGGAGGGTCTCGGAGGGAAGGGCGTGTGGAAGGGAGGGGGTGGGGGTGGGGAGGAGGGTGCGCGTGAGGGAGGGACGGGGGAGAGGGGGGATGGGGGGGGCGGAGCAGGAGCCCGTGTGGTGCCCGCCCCCCCGCGCCCCAGACGGCGCCCAGCCGCTCCCCTTCAGAATGGAGCCGCCCGCGGCGGACCCGCTGAGCCCGGACGCAGCGGGGGGCAGGCGCCCTATCCCTGCCCTTCCCTGCTGCCTCTCCCGGGCGGGGCCTGGACCGGGACAGATCGTTCCTTGGCGTGCCGGGACGCGGCTGCGGCGTCCGATGCGGCCGCCGCGCCTGGTGCAGCCAGCAGCGCAGGCAGAATGGTGGTGGGGGGTGCCCGCACAGTGTCCAGCGATTGCCGCAGCGTGCACGTGGGGCCGGCACCCGCTCGAGCATGGCGGGGGGGGGTCTGCAAGCAAGGAGCGAGGAGGAGCCCCTCCCCGAAGGGGCAGGAAGTAAGGGTTGAGGAGAGCTTGATCGGACAAGAACGGGAACCGCCGTGTTTCTTGTCGCAGGGAGGGGCAGAAGAGAAGGATGCTGGCGATGACAAGGCGGCGGATGTCAAGCAGTGGCGAAGCATCCTGGCTTGCCCACAGGCCCACCAAAGAATATTCTAAGAACCTTTGTTTGCTCTGCACGAAACGTTCTTAGAATTTTTCTGGCTGAAGCTGTCTTGTTTCTAAGCATCGGGTTTCTGTTCCAAGAGCATTGTTTTGTTATTCGAACTTTTTTGGTCCTAAGAACATGTCGTGGTAGGCCTATAGGAATGCCGGGACGGTAGGTCCATGCTCAAGGATGACACACGGCATAGTGTGTCGCCGGAGCCGCCGTGGCGACACTCTAGGCAAAAGTACCCGATCGTGCTGCTTTGGTTGAGGACGTCTCATATGCAATCGCGCGCGGAAGATCATACGCACTTGTCGAAGCCCCTCCATGAAAGGGCAGCATGGTATTTGGGGAGAGTCCTTTAAACCTCCTGTGCTCAGAGAGTTGGCGTTGGCTTGCTGCTCTGTCTGTTCACCAGCATGGAGAAGGGCAAATCATGTGCCAATCGCAGGTGGGGCGTCATACCTTTTTCCGAAGCACACGGGGCCCAACCCAGTTGGGTGAGGCAGTTCGGCCAAATCCTCCTGAAACCATCCGGAGGAAGGTCTGGGGAACAAAAACCTTTTTAACATATTTGTCAGGAAGGTTTCTTGTAAGGTTTTGGGCGAATCCGTTTTAAACTTTTGTGTGTCTAGATCCTTTTTCGGGAGGGCTGCTGTGAAAACAAAGGTTTTGTTCGGAGGAGTTCTAGTATACAAAATACCTTCCTCACACCTTCCTCAGGAAAATTATTGGAATGTGCGTTTGGAGAAAGTATTTCCTCTGGAAGGTGTTTGGAGGTTTTTGGGAGAATCCTTGTAAAACACCTTCCTACAACTTTCTTCATGGAGTTGTTCTGTTTGGAAGGTTGTTGGAAGTGGATTGTGTTGGGAAGGTTTTTGGAAGGCTGATGAAGGGCTTTTGTTGGAAGTTGTTTGGGAGGTTGTCGGAAGGTGTTTGGAAGGTTATTTGTGTTCAAAGTTGTTTGTTAAATGCTTGTGGGAGGTTGTTCGGCAGTGTTTGGCAAATGTTTGGGAAATGTTGTTTGGAATGTTTTTGGAAGGTTGTGTGCAAGGTTTTTGAACTGTATTGGGCGATCTTGCTTAAGTTTGGAAGGTGTTTGCAAGGTTGTTGGAAGGTAGTCGGGAGGATGTTGGAAGGCTGTGGGAAGGTTGTCGGAAGTTGTTTGCACGGTTTTTTGGAAGGTTGTTGGAAGGTTTTCGGGAGGCAGTTAAAAGGTTTTTTGGAACAACGTTCCGAAAACTTTCCTCGCCCACCCCCCTGGAACCTGGGACAAACCTTCCAACAACATGTTCCAAGATTCCTCGTAAACCTTCCTCAGGAATGTTTCTAGAGGGATTCCTCTTAAAGACCTTCCTCCAACCTTCATCAGGAAGGTTTTTGCAAGGCATTTAGGAGGAACCCATCCTGAAACCTTCCTGAGGCAGTTTTTTTGTTGAGGTTTTTTAGAGGAAGCCCTCCTGAAACCTTCCAGAGGGAGGTTTTTTGAAAGGTTCTAGATGGAATCCTCCAGGAACCTTCCAACAACCTTTCTGAGGAAAGTTCTAGGAAGGTTTTTGGGAGGAAGCCTTCCTGAAACCTGCCCGAGGAAGGTTTTGGAAGGTTTTAGCGCCCGCCGCCCGCGCCCAGCCGCTCGTTCGCCGCGCTTCCCCGTTCAACACGACGCCCCGTACTCAACAGCGTCCGTCTCCAACACGAAGCCCCGTACTCAACAGCCTCCGTCTCCAACATCACACCCAGCATCCCTTAGCATCTCGGAAACCTTCCAGAGGGAGGTTGGCGGGTGGATTCCTTTAGAAACTTTCTGCCCGCTCGCCGCCGGCCCGCCGTCCGCCGCCGGCCGCCCGCCCGCTGCGCCCCCGCGTTCAGCACAACGCCCAGCACTCAACAGCATCCGTCTCCAACACAACGCCTGGTACTCAACAGCCTCCGTCTCTAACGCAGCACCCAGTAGTAAACAGCATCCCGCTGCAGGAGACAATCCTTAGGAGGTCGATTCAAATCCCGATCCGCCCGCCCGCCCGCCGCCTTCCCGCCGCCCGCCCCCCGCCGTCTGCCCGCCGCGCTTCCGCGTTCAACACAACGCACCGTGCTCAAGGGCATCCGTTTCCAGCGCAACACCCAATACTCAACAGCAGCCGTCCCCTACACAAACCGGCACTCAACGGCCTCCGTCTCCCACGCAAAACCCAATATTCAACAGCACCCCGCTGCAAGAGAGAACCCTCAGGAGTTTCATTAAAGTCCCGATCCGCCCGCCCGCCATCCGCCGTCCGCCGCCCGCCCGCCCGCCGCCCGCCCCCCGCCGCCCGTTCGCCGTGCTTCGCGTTCAACGCGGCACCCAGTCTCCAACACATTACCCAGTACTCAACAGTCTTCGTGCCAAACACAAAGCCCAGCACTCAATGGCATCCGTCTCCAACAGAGCACCCAATGGTCAACGGCTTCCGTCTCCAACACAGACGGGTACTCAACAGCTTCCGTCTCCAACGCAAAACCCAGTATTCAGCAGCATCTGGCTGCAAGAGAGAATCCTTCGGCGGCCGAATGAAGTCCCGATCCGCCTGCCCGCCGTCCGCCGCCCGCCGCCCGCCCGCCCGCCCGCCCGCTGCCCACCCCCCGCCGCCCGTTCGACGCGCTTCGGCATCCGTTCCCGACGCAACACCCAATACCCAACAGCCTCCATCTCCAACACAAACCGGCGTTCAACAGCCTCCGTCTCCAACGCAACACCCAGTATTCAACAGCATTTCGCTGCAAGAGCGAACCCTTCGGAGTTTGGTTCATGTCCAGATCCGCCCGCCCGCCGTCCGCCGCTTGCCCGCCGCTCGCCTGCCGCCCGCCCCCCGCTGCCCGTTCGCCGTGCTTCAGCGTTCAATGCGACACCCCGTACTCCACAGCGTCCGTCTCCAACACAGGATCCAGTATTCAGCAGCCTCGGTGCCAAACACAAAACCCAGTACTCAACGGCATCCGTCTCCAACCTCTCGAAACCGCAGAAAAAACAAATATAGTGGAAGGTTTTTGGGAGGCTGTTTCAGGATTATTCCTAAAACCTCTTCCAGACACCTTCCAATAGCCTTCCTCCCGGAAGGTTTTCGGGGAATTCATTTTGCAAACCATCCCACAGCTTTTGTTCAGGAAGGTTGTTGGAAGGTTTGTTTGAGACGTTTTCGTAGAGGCCTTCCAGTGACCTTCCTGAGGAATGTGTTTGAAAGGTGTTCAGAAAAATCCCTTTTAAAGTAGAAGCCTTCCAGTGACCTTCCTGAGGAAGCTGTTTGAAAGGTGTTTTGAGTAGGAAATTGTGTAGGTTGCTGTTGTTTTGTTGGGGGGTACGGTGTTGGGGGATTCCGTCAACAAGACTTCCTGAAATCGTTTCCCAGGAATGTTTTTATGTGGAAGGTTTGTTATGAGGGTTCTTCATGAACGAATCGCATTAAAACTTTGTCGCGAAGGTTGTTTTGGATGGTTACTTCTAAACACATTCCTAAAACGTTCCTCTGGTATGTTTTTTTTTGTCCTGGACGGTTGTTTCAGGAGTCTTCTTGAGGAAGGTGTTTGTAGAAGGCTTCTTGGAGGAATCTGTGCAAAACTTGTTCAAACTGTCTTCAGGAAGGTTGTTGAACGCCTCTATTTGTTTGAGGATTCCTTTCAAAAGCCTTCCTAAAACTTTCCTCAGGCAGATGTTTGGAGGGTTTCTGGGTGATTACATATAAAACCTTCTTATATCCTCACCCAGAAAGGGTATTTCTGGTTTTGGAGAGTTCCTTTCCACAGGCTCCCTAAAGCCTTCCCCAGGAAGATTTTTGGAAGGTTGGTGGAGGCACCCTGTTAACAAATCTCCCGAAGACTTTCCTCAGGAAGGTTTTTGGAAGGTGTTTGCAGAAATTACGTTAAAACATGGTCTTGAAACATTCCGCAGGAACGTTCTTGAAAAGTTTTTGGAGGGTTCTCGTAAGAACCTTCCGAGAAAGAAAAAACAATTTCCCAGGAAGGTGTTTCAAAAGGTTCTTTGGCGGACTCCTGTTAAATACCTTAACCTGCCTCAGGAAGGTTTTTGGTAGGTTTTGGAGGAATCCTCCTAACAACTTTTCTCGGGCAGGTTGTTGGAAGGTTTTCGGAGGATTCCTTTTCAAAGCCTTTGCGAAACCTTGCTCTGGAAGGCTTTTGCAAGGTGTTTGGGGGACTCCTGTAAAAATTATCCTAGGACCTTCATCAGGAAGGTTTTTGAAGGAACCCTTGTAAGACAAACCTTCTTAAAACCTTTCCCAGGAAGGTTTTTGGAAGGCTTTTTGAAGGAGTCATCCGAACAAAATTTCCAAATTGGTTGAACACCTTATTAAAACGTGCTTCTGGCATATTTTGTGTTGAAGAGGTTGTTTGGGGAATCCTGTTAAGAACCGTTGGGAAGCCTTCCGCAGGTCGGCTTTTTGTGTTCTATATCATATATATATACACATAGACAGACCGAAAGCATGGCAGGTTATTTGAATGTTTTCGTCTGGTTGTTCAATGGTTTTTGGAATGGTTGGAAGGTTGTTGACAGGCTTTTGACATGGTGTCGGAAGGCTGTTGG